CTTGCTAAGTGTATAGCATGTCACGAAGAATTAAGGTCGTTATAAAGCTAAAGGTTACCGGCCAAAATACTAAATCAATTTCTGACTGATAATGTACGTATGTACAACTGTATTAACACCTGGTATTAATAAACGAATTCTGTTACTCAACTGGCTTAATAAAAATCCAAAAATAGACCCTTGTATCTCTCTCTCTCTCTCTCTCTCTCTCTCTCTATCTATCTATCTATCTATCTCTCTCTCTCTCTCTATATATATATATATATATATAATTACATGTTTGAATTGATAATCTTTGACTTTTCAAATATAAGTATTTAAACGAATAATTAAAAAGAACGGTAAAATGGAAGCTCATTTCAATATTGTAAAATAGAAAGTTTAAATTCTAAATATATTCAGAATTTTAAACGTTCGGGTTTTCCATTTTTATATTAAATATTTCGACCCTAAAATAATTCCATGTTGCTTTTTAAAACTTGCGTATAAAATAAGCAGCAGTGCAAATAATTATTATTTTTATTTGAAACATTAGTTGCCAGAAAAATATTAAACTCATTAAATATTCTTGCATCTCTTAAACCTTTGTTGAAATGGCATTAATTCTTGGCATTTCCTAATACAAATTGAATAATGAATATTGTTAAGGAGGCCTGACCGCATTGAAATTCATTATTTAAAATTTTGGTTTACACCTGACTTATCATTAGAACCGATGAAAATTTCATGAACTTAGACGTTTTATAAAAGCTGTTCGGCACAAAATTATGTTATTCATTTATCTGGTTCAGCTGAAAATCACTTCTTCTTCTTCTTCTTCTTCTCGTCCTCCTTCTTCTCCTATTCTTCTTCTTCATCTCTTCCGCCTCCTCCTCCTCCTCTTCTTCTTCTATGTGTCGCGTCCCTGAAGGACATAGGCGATCATATCCATCTATAACTTTCGTGTGAATCTTAGCAGTTTTTCTCTCATTGTTAATGCTCCTATTCCCATTCCGCCATCCATTCACACAAGATCGTGAGGTAAGTTGCTCGTTACATTACCCTGTCTCTCTTGCCCTCTCCGTGAGTGTTAAGTTTTCCAAGCCCTCCTTCCTCATTAAGAAACTAGCTTTGTACTTATTCTATCTCGTTTTGTATGAAAAAGAAATAAGTGTGTTGTAAAGGGAGGGGGAAGAGAGTGGGTGAAGCAGGAGGAGCTGAGGAGGAGGAAGATTGTATTATTACAAAGATTCTCAATGGAAATAATCTACCGATTTAATAACCAATTATATAAATCTTTTCTTTTAGCTGTGGTTGAACTACAGCTGGGAGCAGTGGGTAATATGTCACAAACTAAGATCAGTGATTTGCTTGACATATTTACTTGTGAGGATCGAATTCATACAAGAGTAAGAAATAGCTAATCAAAGATAGATGTTAGATTCTCAATATAATTTCAAGATCTATAGTTTCATAATCAACGAAAGAATCATGTCATGAATTGATCAATTCTGATTCGTTTAAAAATAAAGGCACGATTCACTAGAAAAACAGGAATAAAATCAATATATTCAGCCGAGCTGAAATATGTTAGCAGCATAGAAGCTAGTTGAAAACAAAGAATCAGGAGCTCGACCAACATCAAAATAATCTTAATAATCCTCACTAGCAGTGGTTAGCCGATTGAATGTAGTGAAAAAAACAATAGCATTTCTCGTAATGGGTAATTACCATTTCTCTGAGCAACTTGCATTATAGCCAATCGTTAGACCAGAGAAGAAGAGAGGAAAATAGTTTTTTTTTCAAAAATACAAAAATGTGTCCATTTTGTAAAAAAAGTTGCAAAGGAAAGATGGATTTCAAGATTCACGGAAAAAGAAAGAAACGCAAAATTTTTCAAAAAGACAAGGTAGTTGTCTGACGAAGAGCTTGATAAGTAGATCAACTCAAAGCAAATTACAGTACAGTACAAAAATTTATATTACTCTTATTTTTTTTATTTCAATAAGCTTAGAAAAGATTATATACTTCTATTCTGGTTTCCATAAGAAAATATATTTAGCATGTATATATTCACAAATATACAACAGGCAGAGTCACAATATTTGTAATTCTTCTAGGTAAAGAAAATATCGTACAATGGTCGACTTTCATATCCTAACCTTGTTTCCTTGGTTAACTGCATGCACTTACGGTTTATTTTAATGCTAGAGTGCATTACATTATTACTGGGTAATCTATGCAGGTGGCTTAGTAAATGTATGCATGGCCTCCGATTTGTAAAACTGAATTTTTTTTCTGTATACTACGTGAGAATGCACATGTTATATCCAGCTGTCGTCAACCACCAACCTGAGGAGGTAACACTGTTTCGGTGGCTAAGGCGCCGCCAGAAGCTTTTACCACCAGACAGAGCATTGTTTTTTTTGTGTAGACGTGTCAGCCTCTGTGATTTTTTATACAACTGCAAATCAAATTGTCAACGTTGTGTTAAAGGCGTTTGCATTTGATCGTTAACCAATACACAACGTGCTCGTAGCGAATGTTATCAATGAAGTAGAATGAAAGATAAACAGATGTGTTTCACCTCGGAAGTAGCACTGTGTTGCGAGTATGGTTTTAATTAAATTTAGCTTATTTTGGATTTTGACCAGATCAACTAGATACCTGTTGAGCTGTGGTCTGTAGAAATGAAGCAATCTTCAGGCACCGGCCAGTGAAGCTACCTTCAAAAGGAAGGAAACGATTGACTGTCCAAGGAATCCAGGGCATTCGACCTCAATAAGTAGCACATGACATGACCACCCCTTTTCCATGCAGTCGGATCGCAGCGATACGTAGCGATTTTTTTTTACTTTTTTTTTATTTTCGCTCGTGCGCCTCCACTCTGTTCTCTGCCTATGGTACCGTTAATTCTGCTAGAACACATTTCTTTGAATCAGACAACACTGTAATGGCCGGACGTGCGTCTGTCTGAATGATGTGTAACGGAAATTGTTCTAAAATCAGTTAACACCCTCCAATCACGGGCTCCACTCAGTAGCGTCATGTTGTGAGTAATTTGGGTTTTCCGCACAGGGCGTTCACCTTACTTGTGAAAACGGATGTTAGCTTCTCTGGCCGTTACAAGGTGTTCCACAGAATGTAAACGATTACACACACACACACACACACATACATACAAAAACATACACATACATACATTTTGTTAAATGTATCTGGTTGTAACAAAGTGGCTCATATTTTATATGCGGATTGTTATGCAGATTGTTACGTAACATTCAGTAGCCTTAACCCCGAAGATATATATATATATATATGTGTGTGTGTGTGTGTGTGTGTGTGTGTGTCTGTGTGTGTTTATGTATTTCTGTGTGTGTTTATTGATGTAATAGGAAAGAACAGTTAGATTGATGATCCAAATTGCCAATTTTTTTTAGTATTTTTGATTTTATTCTTAAAAACAGTGCTCGATAGAGAAATAGACCTAAAAAAATATTAAACCAAAGAAATGAAAAATTTTGTTTTGCAGACAACACCAAATATTCGTCTTAAAAAAATTAGTATTTTATAAATGGATACGAAAAAATCACAATATATAAAGAATTACACAATAGCATATAAAATCTATTAGCAAATTCAATTAAAAATTTAGGTTTAAATATACAATCCAATAATAATTTTAATACCCCTTTAAGAAATCATCAACAAAAAACAAATAAATACACACCAAAAAGTAACTAGTAACTAGAACATCAATCAGTATGAGTTTTAGCAGATAGTAATAAAAACAACAGAGCTAAATAGATATGGCTAGTCTAACCAGACAAACATTCCTCAACCTAAACTTACACGATTCCAAAAACTTGGCATACAATAAACATTCCCACTTTCATCAAAGCAGAGACTCCTTGAAATACAAAAACCAGATTACACCTCCATTTCCAAACTATAAATGAGTAAAACATTTCTTTGGTTAGTTACTCCAAACATCGCTTGAGAATGAAACTGTCACCTAAAGTTAAGTTTTAATAGTAATCTCATATTTATATAAATATATATATATATATATATATATATATATATATATATATATATATATATATATATATATATATATATATATATACTCACACATATATATATATATACACACACTCATGGTAAGAGTAAGTGAATGTAATGCATCTGACTAGAATTTGAACTCTCCAAGTGCCTCACTAAAATATTTCCATATGCTTTTTATATATAAAAAGTGAGAGATAAGATCGTATTTGCATATTTTTATGTCGTTTTATTTATTTAATATCTGTTAGCATCATGTTTTAAATTACAACATTTATGGCTTCTCCTGCAGCCTTAAAACTATTCATTAAACTTCACCGATAAGTCTGCAGGAGTGGCCGAAAATTTTCTAATTTCCCATTAATTTACTCTGCTTCCATATAGTAAATTTATTTATATATATATTTATGTACATATATATATATATATATATATATATATATATATATATATATATATATATATATATATATATATATATATATATATATATATATATATGTATGTATATGGAAGAAAAAACAGAGACAGGTAAATGGTTTAGAAAATATGATTTAAGTATGACGGACAGTATGATTAAATAAATTACATGTAAACAATCTTTAAAAAATTTAAACTCTGTTGCTTTGTTTTCATTGGTATACCTCACAAGTATGATGGCGTTATGGTTTTTGTCAGTAACAATCTTCAAGTAATATATTCGTCTTGTTTTCATTGATTGTGCGAATACCATCTGACTATGCCACAGTGTCTGTGCTTGTTTAATTTTTGAAACGGATTTATGAGAGAGTAGTTTGTCCAACCACTGTGTTCACTGTTAATCTGCAGATTATGCCACGATATGTTGAAAGTAGGCTAGATAGCATCTGTCTCAATTATAATGTTCGCGAGACAGTCCTGCAAAATACTGACGACCAACAACATGTAATGGATCCCAGCTTTATACCTTTAAATACTTATGTATTATATAGATGGATAGATAGAAACATATATACATACATAACAGACAACTGAGATAGATAAATAACAAAATTCACATAAAAATATATGCTTAATGGATGTGAGGCGAATTGATTCCCATCAGAGAACATGTAATTTGGTCCGAAGCCAGTAAGAATAATTTTGGAGATAGATAGATAGATAGATAGATAGATAGAAAGAAAGAAATAGAAAATCAGTATGGCTTTATTTGAAGAGTTTGATATACAGATAGATAGGAACAGATCCATGTGGATAGATAGATTATTAAATAGATTGAACAGAAAATGAGTATATAAAATGAACAATTTTACAAAAGATAAACTGTATAGCAACATATATATAAATAGTTGCGTCCTTATTTCATGTTGTTACGGAAGCCCATAGATCAAGAGCCACACGAAAATTGAAAATTAGAATTGATTTTTGACACCTCGCCTCTGTTATATTCGTTTGTAGTCGACGCTCCAGCTTTACCCCCACGCGCGATTCTTCCTATATGATATGAGTTCACACCGTTTGCCTTGGGATTTTTGGGTATAATCGTGGTATGGGGCTGTGACTCTATATTTTTCATTCCTCGAGGGGGCTGGCAGATCATTTAATTGAGCAAAAACCTCAAAAGATGAAAAGCAAGTTTTTTTTTTTTCTCAAGCTGTGTCATATACAAAAATTCGAGCCGAAAATTGAATAGAAATTCATCTTAGTATTTACTTAGGAATTTACAGTTTTGATGTCTGTACTCTATCTATGAAAAATGTTCGTTTTACAGATTTCAATATAACAGATCCAATGGAGCAGAGGGAAAAATTAAACGAGAAATCAAAATTCTAAGTCAAGCATTAATCTGGTTAAATACTATCCCCTATCCAGATAGATAGATAGATAGATATTTTTCTTTAACGAAACATTTTTTTTTTTAATATGTTCGTTAAAATTGCTGCTTTCTTTAGATACAAGAGATAATATGTGATTTTTTTGTTCTTCCTCTCCGAAACAATTTTACCCAAACGAAACGTTGCAGGCTTCTCGATGCTCTACCGCTATTTCGATGGAAAGTGTTCAAACGAACTACATTCCTTAGTTCCACAAGTTCTAATCTTCACAACTAAGGCACGTCATGCCACGCACATTGTACCAAACCACGCTCATCCCATTCTTATTCTATTAGGGAGCTTTAATTTCCATTCTAACAGCTTCTTTACTAAATAAGACAGGAAAACAAATTTTTACTATGTTACTTAAAAATCTAAAAAACAAAAAATGAATACCTTGTAAAATACCACTAAATGCAAATACATGCGTTATATGCGTCGAAGATAATATAACATACCTTAGACCAGTGCTTCCCAAACCTTTTTTTTCCTCTGGGCTGCATTTTCGGATTTAAAGATTCGAACTCAGAACATTATCATTGATAACTCTCTCCTCCAATTTGCGAACCCTAGTTAATATATTCTTAATATTTGATATAATGTAAAAATATCACAATAGTAAAATCGGTCAATAATTATTTATAACTATTTATACTGGGATTAATCCCTGCAATTAAAATAATCCATAATAATATTTTACATTTAAAATCATATTTATTTTGCAATATGCATTTTTTCAACTGTTTCTAATTCTTTGATTATCTTTCAATCATTCCGCCTCACCTGCTATCCTCTAGCGCCGCACCTATGAGGCGCGACGTATCGTTTGAGAACCAATGCCTTAGAAAAAGCTAACACTTTAATCGAAACAAATAAGTCAACCAACACCCGAAATTGTTATACTAGTAGAAATTACAAGCAAAATAACATTATCCACACATAAAAAAATATTAAAATTAATGGAAACCGTAATAATAAAAAGAAATATTCAACACTCAATAACACAACTCTTACATTCAGTTAAAAAATAAAAATAAAATCATCCTTTAGCACTTTCGGATAAAAAGCCAAAAGTATAGCCAAAAGCGGTCGGACACACAGAAATTTTAGTTTTTACGGACTTTGTGTCTACAAAAGAAAACACATGTACGAACACATGAAAATTTAAATAAAAAGCTTAATCGCAGTACCTCGTCAGTCGTCTTCAACAAATATATATATATATATATATATATATAGGGGCGTGATGCTGAATAGTTCTCAGACAAATCAAGAAAAGGATATGAGAATCTGAATAGTATTTATAACGTTTGGTCATTCCGTTAGATTTGGGGTAGTAGATCGGCATCTATTCATTTCACTATCGATCATCTGCTGCTAAATACTCTCTTTCTCTCGATAATTGAATTAAATTTGTTTGTTATATATATATATATATATATATATATATATATATATATATATATATATATATCAATGAAAAAATAGTTAAACAAAAGACTTAAATTTCCGAAGAATCAAACCATCTTTAGTCGTGATGACAATAGAATTGTTTAGTGATTTTCAAAGGTCATGCTTTTGAACTGGCCGCGATTTAATCTCCTAAAGTTAGTACAAATGTTATAATATAAATTCTGAAGTGAAACCTGAAAACCAACTTCGGACTCCAAGATAATATCATTTCTCCAGTAAACATTACGGCTTTTTAATATTTTACTGATTTGTATTTAACCAAAATAAACTAACACTGTAGTCATTTTTGTAAATTATCCGTTGTTTTGATTTAGATTTGACAAAAATAATCTTTGATTGATTTTCTCTCGTGTTAAATTTAAATTTCCCATGTAAAACTTAAATATTATGATTAATAAAATAGCTGTATCATGATGTCAACTTTATCTTGTAGTAATAAAATATTTTATGCCAGGTTACTCTATGATTGCTATTGGTAGCATGTTGTCCAGTACTACCAAGCGCATAGCCCGTTCATCCTGGACTAAATAGGTTTTTACCAGGAATTTCTGGTAGCTATAGACCACGAAGGATTAAAAACAAGATATATAAAAGCATGGATCAACTTTCTTGTAGAATTAATGTCACCCTATCACAGTGGGGTAGACTGGACTAAACAGCTATGTATGCACTCAGTGCGGAAATCTCATGGCATTCCAGAGTATAGGATTTTCTTGACTGAAATCAATGGCTGCAATGAAGATATCCCCCAATATAGTCAACTGACATGAGTTAAGGACGAAGTCGAGCCTTCACGTCTGACGACATCTGCTGTGATTTGACCTTGAGAGTAAGAGACGTTTGTTATAAATTGTAATTGCAATGAATGGCAATATTTTGATAAAATGTATTCAACTTTGGACGATTTTTCATATATGCATAACAACATATAGCACAAAAAAAATGAAAGTGAAACATATTTTCGTTTACATAGATATCTTAAATAATGAAAGAAAAATGTGTGTTCTTAACTATAATGGCTGTGTTCTTAGTTATAATGTGTATTGTTAGCTATGAGGGGTATTGTTTAACCTATATTAGAATAAACACTAGGGGATCGTTTGGAGCTAGCATACTTCATAACACGTGTCTAGTATAGCTTAGTCGAAACAACACCTTCCTAGACGAGTTTCAAAGTCCTTTTAATATTAGGAGGAACAACTAATTTCCTTAACTAGTAAGTTATACGATGGCTCTAGCCTACAAACTGGTAATAATGGTTGATATGAACAGTAATCAAACATACATATTGCAAAAAATCAGAACAAATCTTCTTTAATTTATATAACAGCTGAAGAAAAGTAAACACACTGCTGCAGATTACATAAACTTGTACATAATAAATAAAATTGGGGCCTGTAGACTTCACACACAAAACGACTTTGGTTAATCACAAAAATGGTCAGTCTTTAATCATTTTGATCAAAATCGATAGGCATCCATAAGATGGACCAACTAATGTGCAAAACAAGGAAGCGGAAAAATTGGAGGATTGTAATGTTAACTAATGATATCCATATATTATCTGGCATCACAAATGTTCCACATAATCTGGAAGTAATAATACATGCAAAACATATTTCACCCACTCTATCCAGATTTTGTGGAAATGATGCAACACCAGAAAATGAACATTGGCGTTTATGAGATTGTATGAATTGAAATTTTATACATGGCTAGATGAGAAAAAACCCCCAAAAAACAGACATTCTTAATGCATTGAAAGTATGGCGGATAATATATCGGTTTAAAAGCTGTTCCAATTACAACAAAATTAAAAATTGTTCAAAAATATGAAACATTCATTTATTTTTTTAGATATGTCATTTCTTTAATTTTTTTTTAGATACATTCATAATTTAATATATTTTCATTTTTTTTAAATAGAAAATAAAAGTTTAATATTTAGTTCGACATAGGAAACGGAAATTACAGTTTCTACTTTTTGATTAATATATGGCAGATTTCATTTTTTAGACTGAAAAATAAGAGATTTGCTCCCTTTTACACAAGTAGAAATATAATTACATTATATACATTTTAGCACATGCGCATTTCTGATGAAGCACTATATACGTGATTATTCTGGCGATTTAGGCTAAATATATGATGCGATTATAGAGGTGAAGACCTTGATATATATATATATATATATATATATATATATATATATATATATATATATATATATATATATATCCACAAAAATTTTTAACACAGAATTCAAATATGGCTTTGAAAATGATGGAACACATTCTTTTAAAGGGAACCTTTTTTCGTCCAACTCCAATCTTCAGAATGATTCGTGGGACAACAATAATCAAAACGGCTAAAACTGAAAATGGTATACCCGTGGGTACACAGGGAGCTACTATTAATATAAATCTATTACTAAAAACAAACAAATCTATGCAAATAAGCTCCTAATGAGTATAAAACATAAAAACATGACTCAAAACACATGAGAATATTCTTTCTGCCAGCACAAAGTGAGTCGATGAAACTTGATGTAAATAGCTTCTATAACCGTAAATGTTTAACAGACCGAGCCCTATGAAGCACCGTAAACGCATCGTCAGCATAATCAACATATATATATATATATATATATATATATATATATATATATATATATGTGTGTGTGTGTGTGTGTGTGTGTGTGTGTGTGTGTGTGTGTGTGTGTGTGTGTGCATGCATGCATGCATGCATGTATCTGGTCGAAAATACTTCTGTAGAATTTGCTTCCTCCATCTCTGACGGATATTTTGTATTCCTGATATATATATTTTTTTTTAAATTAACACGAAATAATGGTGTGATCTATCCAAAATCGCACGTACATGCATAGTAGTGTATTTAGCATTTTTAAGATGGCTGTCGATGCACCCATCAGAAAATGGAAGAACAGACGAGAAGAGAAAAATTCACGAAGTACAACAAAGAAAAGAAAAAACCATATCACGCTCTCTGAAACCGTTAGAAGCGGTACTTCTGGGTTATTACATTGCGTGTGAAGTCAGCCAGAAACAAGACTATAAAAAATTCGTAAACGCGAGAGTGAACGAGAGCGTGAAACGGAGTGAATGGTTTGAAAAGGAAAGGGAGAAAGAAGAAAAATTAGAGAAAAAAAAAATGGGTAAAATCGACCGAGATGAAGCTAATATTTCAGGATTTCTTTTATTCTTTCTGATTTGTTTCTCTGTTAAAAACAATCCCAAAAATACCTTGAAATTTCACCTTGAAGAGCGATCGGCGTCAAACAGTTGAAATAATCGACCTCTTTCTTCATCTCTCATACTTAATCTACCTTCCCTTCCTATGAAAATAATACATTATGTCGTGGCAGAGGTTTACAATGCTGTCTGGGTAAAACCATATTAAATCGACGCCATCTCACAACGCGATCAAACTATCGGTATTCCAAGAACGTAAGAGTTTTGCTTGATTGTATCTTGGAACATGTAACGTTGAAGTCGGAGAATATAATGAGATATATAAGGATATTTTGCTTGAACCTTAAATAACTAAATAAGTTCATAAAATATGCACATAAAATACGCACACGCACACACACACACACACACACACACACACACACACACATATATATATATATATATATATATATATATATATATGTGTGTGTGTGTGTGTATATATATGAGATTTGATTATAGTGGTGAAGGCCTCGTGCAGGAAACTAATATGCTTGACCCTCATACGTCGAATCTCGACGGGAGAGTCGATTATATATATACATATATCGTTGAACACGACTAACTGACTGTGATTAAGATTTTATTCAACCTTTCTTGTTTTCGTAGCAGGGTTTTCTTTTCTGTAAACAAAGTGTGTAAAATATAAGAAAAATTTTATATACCAGAGCACTTTCGGACAATCTATTATCCGTTATCAAGAATGGTTTTACTTTTTAACTGAATACATAGATTTTGATGGGAATATGTTTTTATTATATAAACATGATCAGTACGTTCAGGCTTTTTTTCATAATGAATATTATTGAGTTGTTATATTGAATATTTGGACAGGTTTTGGACACTTTCTTCCAAGAAACATATTTAGGCATAAAAAACCAACATAAATATCATTTAATCCATTGGAGATACAATCTCCCAAAGGGCACTTGAATTTGTAAACTATGTTTTTTTTTTGCAAACACTAACGGGGAGGGGGAAGAATCATTGCGAATAATTAATTTGGATATACTAGATTTAGTGCAGTATATGATTTCTCTAATTATTTTGCTAGGATCTGTTGTAGATATATTAGTATTTACTAATTTATTAGTATATTTTCATCTTGTTTATAATTAGTATGCATTTGACTACGAAATAGGAGATTAATATGTTTGGGATTTATTGAACCAGTAATATGTTCTATTTGCCTAGTATTAAGACTATATATATATATATATATATATATATATATATATATATATATATATATATATGTATGTATGTATTATTATTATTATTATTTACACTTGGATTTATCATTACTTTGTTTGTGTGTGCGTGCGGATGTGTGTGTGTGTGTATGTGTGCGTGTATGTATCCAGTTGCACTTTGAGTACAGCTGCGTGGTCGAGTCGTACCTATTGCATGGTCGAGTGATCATCGGCTAAACCAGTTCCCGCATCAGATTTATTTCCTGAGGGGTGTTGGTAGACAGTACGTAGGATTAAAAGCAAAAAGTATCAGCGGCCGTATGAACACTTCCACAGGTTCAATGGCCATGTAGCCTTGTTTTTGAAGAAGGACACTCTGAAAACCTGCGGCGGACACAACTGCTAATCATCTTGCTTCTGACTGTAAATGGATTCTGGCTGTTGGACTTATAAAGTTTCTGATTTACACGTGGGCAGATTAAAACTTGTCAAACGTGGTTTTTACTTCTCGGAGTAAGAAGTAGTTTAAGGATTTTGGAAAAAAAACAACCTTAAAGACCTAGAGAATAATGTAGACATATGTGACATTTTGACTCGTGCAACTTGTAGGATGTTCATCCTCGATAGATTCAGAGAATTTGAAAGAAAGCGGGTGGGATCATTCCGCATTAAAATATTCATTCCAAAAGCAAGGCACAAGTAAGATGACAACAGAGATCCAATTGGTATTGAAGTTTAATGTGTGTGGACGCTTTCTTCTTCGCAGGTGCAGGCTTGGCAAACCACCTAAAGTCGTATGAACCAAGAAGGAATCAGGCAAAAAGAGAATAAATTTTGCCACCAGGTCCACTACAGCATACCAGTTCAACTTGTTGCTTTGTATGTCAGTCAGCTAGTGGTTTGACCAGAAATCTTAAAATACACTATTTCAGCTGGTAAGAGAGATAGATAGATAGAAAGAAAGAAAGAAAGAGAGAGAGAGAGAGAGAGAGAGATAGAACAATTAAATGCTGTCTATTTATAACCATTTTAATGTTTAAATGTTATCGTTGTAACTCTTTCATATACTGGGTTATTGAAAAGTACCTTCCCATTTTAAAATACTTATAATTTATTAGCTATATTTTTTTATAGTAAATGGATATGAGGTGGAAACCGTTTAGCATGAGGTTTTATTTGCAATTCCATATGGGCACCCGATTACTCCCAGCTTCTCGAGCCGTCCAGGAATCGCGTCAGTTGATTTCACCAAGAATTTTTGTGGTATGAGAGATTTAACCTCTTGTATTCGCCCTTCAAATTCTTCCAAAATTTTGGTTTGATATAGTCGACTTACTCCTTTAACCAATCCTAAAGAAAAAAGTCACAGGGTATCATGGGTGGCCACTCACACATAAAATAGGGAGTTACTTTTCAATATGTAGAATAGGTTTAAATTTTGTGAGGACCATTTTTATAAAATCTAAAACAATAAAAATAAATGCGTAAAGAGTTTATCCCTTGCAGTGACTGCGTCTCTATTAATATAGAGCATTGCAGCCCAAATGCGATAAGAACGAATAGAAGATTCCTATTTAAAAATGAAAAGAAAAAAAATCCATTGTAATTTCTTGGCTTGCTAGTAAACACTGTTTCTCTCTTTTGAATTTCATTATTGAGCCTCTTCGCTAAAAAGAAAAACATAAGTGTATAAATAAGTAAATAAGCATTAACTGTGAATATATATATATATATATATATATATATATATATATATATATATATATATATATATATATATATATATATATACCCTGTGTGTGTTTCAGACAATAGGAAGCAGGCTATTGGTGAAAATTATAGATCAAATTAAAGAAAGCGAGATATATTCACGAAGAGAAAAGCTATTGCTGGCTGAGAGGGTAACTGAATGTGTTCAAGGAATATCCGATGAATACAAATTATCGTTTTTCATATTTTGAATATTACAAGAACAACGATTCACGCAATCCGCCGCTGGTTTACAAAAAAAGCTCCCCCTCCGTGAAGTCCGGAAGAATCTACAAAAAGATATTCACGAACAGCATCACTATATGTCCAACTGTTACTGAACGACATTAAAGTAAAACCTCAGTAATGAAAATTGATTGTGATGGAGCATCTTTTCTCAAGAAGGTCAATCGATAAAACTAGCATAATTACAATCTGATATGGTCGTAGTCAATCTTAAACTATATAAACTCAAAGGTACAACCTTCATTTTAGGAATGAACGTCATTCGTTTTAAGAAAGTCACTCGATTTAAAAAGGAAACTACTTCATTTTAAGAAGCCATGTATTTCGTTTCAAGAATCAATGTTCTTTGGTTTAAGAAACAACGTAATTTGTGTTAAGAAGCGACGTCTTTCATTTTAAAACCAACGTCGTTCGTTAAATCAAAGTCCTTCGTTTAAAGAAGCAACGTACTTTGCTTTAAGAAACAACGTACTTTGCTTTAAGAAACAACGTATTTTGTTGTTAGAAGCAACATAGGTTGTTTTAAGAAGAATGTTACTTCGTTTCAAGAAGCAACGTCCTTTGTTTTAAGAAGTAACGTTTTTGTCTTAAGAAGCAATGTCCTTCGTTTTAAGAAGAAATGTCCATCTTTTAAGAAGCAACGTACGTTGATTTAATGAGGAACGTCCTCTAGGTTAAGGATATTACTTTAACAAATTTTCCTTTTTAACTCTGAATCAAAATAAAAGTACGGATAAATTCATGTATCAATTCCCGTTATGTTTATCTCTGTAAAGAGATTTAACCATAGAGCATCAAGTCATGATCATGTCGAATCCTTTGTGGAATGAAGTGTGATCATAACTTATTACCAATTACTTTAAGGCCAGTGATTATATACATTATGAAAATATATATGAGCGTCTTTCCATTCTTTTATTTTTACGTCCAGGTATGCGTGGAGGTTTGATGTTAGATTAAGTAATAAGGACAAAGAAACTGGAATCAACACAAACATAGCCGTAGATTGTTTTTCAAATTCCCTAATTCTCCAGCAGAAAGGCACATATTCACCTTACCCACAAAGTCATATCAGAAATTACAATACACTGAAATCTCAATCGTATCTTGACAATGTTGGATAATGGTGTCATTTATGTGAGTATGGGTTTGAAATTTACAGAAATACATCTGAGACAGAGTATTCATAATTTGTGTGTATGCTTCGACGCAAGACGAAAACGAGACACATGTTTTTGAGCAGCTACAATATTTCCTTGAAATTTTATCTTTCTTTGTTAAGCATTTGCGCTATCACAATCATTTGGTAATGGAAAAAAAATAAAATATGATTATGAACGTAAAAAATAAAAGTGCTGAAAACAAAGTATTTTGGCCTAATAGGCCAAATTTCTTATTTTTGAAACAGCCTACGGTACATTTTCATCAATTGGCGCTTATATTCCACGATTTTTGATATTTTATTTTTGTTTTCATTTCGTTTTACCATTTCAAATTTCTTTGGTAGCATCCAGTATAAGAATGGACAATTAAACCAAATATATTCCATAATAAGTAAGGTTATTATGTTTTTCGTGTAATCAGAATATATTTAGATATCCAGTTATAAGTAGAAAGACAAAAAATTAAATTAATCATGCCATCTCCAGACAATAATAGAAAAATATGTTGGGGGTTGCGTGTGTGTGCGATAGTACAGATAGATAGATAGATAGATAGATAGATAGATAGATAGATAGCACGGATAATAACGTTGACGCAAGAGAGAATATGCCGTCATACACATCGTTATAAAATGTCTTGGACTTATTTCAGCAAAAATTAAACACACACACATATATATATATATACATGCTCACACACATATGCATATATATATATATATATATATATATATATATATATACACACACACACATATGTATGTATATATATATATATATATATATATATATATATATATATATATATACACACACACACACACACACACACACACACATTTATATTTATATATATATATATATATGTGTGTGTGTGTGTATCTTTGTGTGTGTGTGTGTACATTAAGTTCCATATTATGCATTCAGCTTTCTTTCTAATTAAAAAAAAAATAAATGAACTAATCTTTTCTGGTAACTTGCCATCCGCCAATATAAAACACCCATTTTAAATCAGATTATGATTGTACGAAGATGCCCAATATTTCATCAAACTAATGTTTTGAATTACATTTTATTATGATATTCATTAGAGTTCTTTTACAAAATGCTTGTAGCTTCTTTCTAAAAAATGTTGTCAGCAACTTGAAAGGCTTTCCCGTTGTCATTGTAATGTTTGTTTCTATTTTCTTCGTGGATTCAAATTTAACTTCCAAAGATGGTAACAGGTTTTACATTAAACTCGCCTTATATACTCATCACTTCACTACATCCGCACCCAAATATCACACCACCTCCTACTTCTTAATGCCTCAAACTCTAATGGCATTTTCACCAAACTTATTCCATCCATCTGCCTCATCAACAGTAGCACGGAATTTATCGGTGAAAAAACCTGTATAATAATCGGTTTTCATGTTTTGACAATTCTTGAGGGTTGTCATTTCAGATCTTTCAATATTTTTTGATTGCCGACAATTCCTCACTGTTATAAACTAAACGATTCAGTAGCTTCAGAAATATTTGTTTATAACCTTCTCTTTTAACACGGAACAAAAGCGAAGTTTTCTCAAAACTTGTCCAACCTAGAAAGTTCATGGAGATACTTAACTTTTTTTTAAATAACTTAGTTTTGTTTTTTTGTTTTTTTCAATTGAGTCATTATTATTATTATTATTATTATTATTATTATTATTATTATTATTATTATTTTCTTTGATTTCTGGCGTTTACACATTTCTTTCCGGGTCCCGCCCAGGGACCTAAGGTTAGAAATGGCGTCATGACACTTTCCACTGACAAAAAAAAACAAAACAAAGGAATTAAATTACATAGATAAAGCCCTTCGTAAGGTGTGGGCTGTACTTATTATTATTATTATTATTATTATTATTATTACTATTATTATCATCATCATAAATATATAAATAATTCGTACGTTAATAGATTTTAATATTAAATTCCAGAATTATTCAAATAACACCATTTCTGAGATCTTTTCTGCTAATTCACCACAAAATATTAATTCACCCCAAATTAAAAAAAAGGATTTATATTTACTAAAATTCATGCCAAATTCTCCCAGAGCTATGCCCTTCCATTGCACTCCGCTTGGTTTGACTTTGCCAATGCCCCAAATGTGGGCGACTCGGGTGACTTATTTCTAAGTGTAGAGTCCTCTTTCGCGCCCAAGACCAAACCGAAAACAGATTTTTTTCTTTCTTTTTTAAATTTTAAAAATTACTTGTCAATACCATGAGTATCATCCGCACTTATGAAATGTTAATAATTCTCTGATTTTTGGCAATTTTCCATTCTTAGGGATTTTAGTTGTTGCTAGGCAAGCTATAATTTTTTTTTTATTTAAAATATATTATTTCAAAGGTGTACCGAAAATTAAATAACAAACAAGCAAACTTTGATTTAAAATTTATAATTTCTTGAGGTGGGTCAATATTTGTGATAAGTAACTTTACCTTATTTGGAGTGAATTCTCAGAAAATATAACATTTTTGTCCTAGAGATAGTAACTACCTTAGAATTTAAATCAAAGCTAAACAAAAAATATGTAAATTGATATTATTAACAGTACGTTTTGAAAATCTAACAAATATAAAATAATATATCATATATGAATTAAATTATGAAATATATTGAAATAATTTACTCGTGACACCTGAAGTAATATCATTTTACTTTAATATCACTTAAAAAAAAAACTACTGTAAATCGAATAATGGAAGAAAAAGAGTGAAGAAATGAGCGCAGGTTTGTGTTATGCTTAATTACAATTCATGATTAATGAAATAAGATAACCTTTATCAAAGGCTCGAGATGTAGAAACAGATACTTTGGTTCACATTTCGTTATATTTCTTCTGGCGTTCGAAGTCAAATAATGCATATTCGCACGTTGATGTATTCCTGTAAAGCTCTCACCCACGCCCACACAAAATCACATCTTTCTCGATTCAAAATACTACGACATAAATTGTATGAAATGCTAAGAGTATGGAATACTCTACAATGAAATAAACTCGGTGAGAAAAAAGTAACTCCATGCGGTTGGTAGAAAACATCCGGTAATAACGTTCCTTCTTCACAGAGATTTCGGACGCTTAAATAATCCTACAGATTTCTTTGACACACTCTCTTTGAAATATAACATCGTTTTTATCCATTTTTGGTAGGCATTCAACACGGAGAATAACTCTTTCTATATATATAAAAAAAAATCATTGTTATCGTTTGACGAGACTTATTTTCTTTTTTATTGATTTGAAAGCTAAAAAGTTGCAGTCGTACATGGGTAAAGTGTCCCCCACGGGAGAACGTTCATTTTCATGGTTTTCTCTCTCATATGTTTCATGGTTTTCTACTCTCTTGTACACGTTTGTTATGCACACATACGCCCCTACTACACACACGAACACGCGAGTGCGCACAAACACACACACAGAGGCACGCATAAACAAGCACGTTTTTATTATAGCAAGTTTCAGGCTTTTGTTTCCTTTCGTCACATCTAATTCCTTTGTTAATACATGAATTGTCGTTTGTTCTATGTTTATTGTTCTGTGTAACTCATTTTTACCTGAACTCACGTTAGGTCTGATAATATTGTTTACAGAATTAATTTTCCACGGGCCCGTAAATATTTAGATTCCATAATGTTGATTCCCGCAACATAATGGTGTCTAATATTTATACAGACAAACCAGCATCCCCCAACCGTTTGGTTTTTCTGTATTAAATAACATGACATTAACATAAGTTTTTTTTTATCATTCATTTTGCTATTTTCGAGCGAAGATAAAATCCAATGTACAAGTTTTTCGTTGCTCAATAAACTTAATTTTGTTCCCTATTTAACGCCATTCCTCATACTGAATTTTTTCCACCCATTAAGCGATTAATAAAATTTTTAGTGTTATCAAGAATACTTTTCCAATCAATTCGACATTTTTAAAGGAGACATGATTCGCAAAAGGCGAAAGAAACTTGAGATAACATTAAAAAGACCATTCAGGTATTTTTAAATTTTATCTCGAGAAAAGTAAAAAAAAAAGAAGAAATGAAATCATCGACATTGCTAATAGCATAGTTTCTATTTCGAATGTTCTTCCTGTCCTCTTAAGGTTCTTTTTCTTAAATCTGAAGACGGTTAACAGGCAAAATGCGTGACAAAAGAAATATTGCACTGGTTTACATTATGTGTTGTTTGCAAAAACGTGATAATCCCTGTTTGAAAAGAGAGGCTGTGGATATGTTGTAAGATGTAAATTACATAAAACTAATGATGTCTTTGTAGGTCGCATCTATCTAGATATATTAAAAAAGAACAGTAAATATTTTAAATCCTGCTTCAAATTGTAAACAATATATATATATATATATATATATATATATATATATATATATATATATATATATATATATATATAGAGAGAGAGATCTAGCAAATGATGAAAATACTGGATAAAAATGGACAATATGGAAACAGAAGTGTTGATAACAACAAACGCATCAGGTGCAAGAAAGAAAGAAACGAAGCAGCAAGCAGGCGAACGGCCGATTTCTTTCCAGCTCCAAGAGCCAATGGCAGCAAAATATGATTTCAGTGTTGTCGAACATGACGACTCATCATGACAGATGTTGGGTGAGAATGATGCAGAAGGAAATATGATAAAATGATGCAATTCCTTTTAAACTCTGACATTTAGACTGTTCATGAGATTCTGAGATAAAACATTGAATTATTCGGATTAGTAATATTATTTCTGTTGTTTCGAGTATTTTGCGGCATTTTGTACCGACACTTTGCTTGTTTTCTGATATTGTGATTTAATATTTATTATCTGCCTTATAATTTATTATTCCTGAGATGACGTATTTTAACTGTTTACAGTATTTACATTGTTCAGACTATTGTGTTCGTCTTTGGTGTCATATTCACGACGATTTGGCCGTTGTAAATCCCGGCCTTCTTCAGGGGATTCGAATGTCGAACCGAACACTTATCTCGCATACCGGTGTAGATTGTTCAAGGTCAACGTACTAAGTCTCTTCTGGATATTTCAGCTTCAGTTATTTCCCTTTAGCTCAATTCTCTAAGCTTCTGCTCACCTCCTTAGCAGAGACAAGACAAATGTCCAGTAGTAAGATAACAAAAATTGGAATTAATTTAACAAACATTTTTGGTAGAAAAAAACAAAGATGCAGCAGTGAAGTTAAAAATGAAGTCTTTTTGGTCCATTTTTACATACTGCTTCTTTTTTTTCTTTCTTTTCCTACCTAGCAGATATTATTCACGTACGTAGTACTATAAACCAGAAAAGATATATATATATATATATATATATATATATATATATATATATATATATATATATATATATATATATATATATATATATATATATATATTCTTCCGAAAACTGCCTGTGCATTATTCTACTTCAATATTATCAGACGTTCTGAGATTCACTTTAGCCAATATGACATTTTTTAATGTAATGCCCACTCAGGCTGTAGGCGATCATGTTTCTCAATGGTTCTTGCAGCTCGAAATAAATTCTGTCTTTTCGTTATTTCTAAACCCTCTTTCGCCAACCATTTAATGCTCG